CCCTTCAATCTTAATCGCATTCAATTAGTTCAATTTAGTGAATTAATACATGTTTGCATTAATCTGTGTGGGAACGATACTTTGCTTTCACTATATTATTTGTACGATTTAGTGCATTTGCTGAAGGCATTGTTAGGCCTTATTTGACTCGTTCTTCATAATGGTTTCTCTGCAAGCTGCATCAACCATGGACCTATTGGAAAATGATAGTCCAATATAGAAAAGTTGCAATTTTCACTAAACAGGAAAATCATGGTGTGAGCATTTCCTTATAAGCTTTTTGAACTACTCCTAAGCCTCGTTTAGGGACTTAGATTTGTACTGCTAGTAACTAGTGATTTTTGAAATGAGCTTACTAGAACGAAATAAGAGAAAGTATTTTCTCAAGAACTATGAGTTAGGTTATCCTATGTCATGATGGAATTGAGAACCACAATCACCTTTTTCATGATAGAGAATAGAAAAAGGTGAAATTTAATGGCATCAGTGACAACCCTCTTGTACTTGATTGTGTTAGTGAACCAAAGAAACTTCTTCAGATAGAGGTTGGGGTCTTCATTAGGTGAACCTCTAAATTGCATGGAATTATGAATCATATTGATCAAAGCTAACTTCAATTCGAAATTATTGGCTTCTACATTAGGGGCCGCAATACTTCCAGCAACACCCTCAATAGTGGATGTAAAGTAATCTTTTAGAGTTCTTCTTCTCTCTGTTATTCTTTACTCTATGAACTCTTTCATTTGTTTGTGTACAGTCTTTTCAATCTCCATATCAAATACAACATTGTAAGAGACTTATAATGATTAAGCATATAACAAAGGAAATTCAACAAAAGCATAATAAAACAAAACAAAAACAGTGAGATGAAAAATGGAAATTAAAAACTTAAGGAACTAAATAAGAAAAAAATGTTCAAATCAATTTAACGTTGATTTTTCTCATTATTGAAAAACAATCTCTGACTAGTCTCAAAAACTTGTTCGTGGACAATTGTACTTGTGAAAAAGTAATAAAGGGTTCTTAAATTGAATTACTAGAATATTATCCTACAGAAATTGTTTACAATTACAGAGAATATCTTGATTTAATTGCTTGAACCAAAACAATGCATAATAAAATAAGAGAAAATATAGAAGATTTAAATTAAATAGTAATGAGAAGAGAAACTTTTGACAAGAAAACTATTCGAGATAAACCTATGGTATAAGTCTTCACCTTCACACCTCTTTATGGTTAATTTTAGTTTATCCTTAATCACAGTTTTCATTTGATTGCCAATCACTCATACTAAAGATACTAACACTCAATAGTTATGCAATGTCAATATTATTTCCCAAGCTATCACCTATGTAAGATAGAAAGAAAAGAAAAGTATAAAGATCATGTGAACTTGTTAATTTAGTAACTAATTGAAAGATAAAAACCAAGTTTAGTCCACTTAATTTCCTATCCCGTTTTACTTTATAGTTTCATTAACTATATGTGGTACGATTATCTATCATGCAATTAACTATGAGATGTTAAGAATGACCAAGTCCCAACATAAAAACATGCACACGCTAGGGATAAAATGAATCTTGAAAAGGAAACATAATTGTAATTAAACAAAAATATCATATAAAGTGTGCAAATGATCCACCATAACTCTATCTATGAATTTAGCTACACATAATGAAATAGGCAAAGAAAACAAATGTAACAAAATCTATATTCATTTAAAAAGGAAACACAAACTAGAAAGTTCCCAGAAAGAAAGAGATGAAAATGATCCTTGTTGCTAAAGCACGTTGTTGATTACTTGCTCAAACTTTGAAAAAGTATTCTTCATTTTCACCAATGATCTCTTCCAATCGCATCCCAAAGTTGTCATAAAATAATTTTTAAATAAAAAATTAAAGATTTATTATATAATTATCTTTAAATTTAACAAATTTTATACATTTAGAAACGATAATATTTTAATTATTAATAATAAATATTCTATTATATTAAACAAGACTAAATTAAAAAAATAAACTTTCAAAGTTAAAATTAAATTTAGAACATAAATGTAAAATGTAAAAAAAGTTGATTGATATAATAAAGAAGATGACTAACGTCTAAAATCATTCTCATTTAATATAACTCTTAAAATATTGTGATTTAAAAAGTAAGACTCAGTTTATATACAAATACAAAAGAAGATAATTTTTGCAACAATTATTTATTTATTTAAATAATTTAAATAAATAATTAAATATATATATATATATATATATATATATATAAATTTTTTTTACACTAGAATAAATTAAAAAAATTTCATACTCAATTTAAGTTTTTATTTAACTTATATCTAATACTTAGATATAATAATATTTTTATAAAAAAATTATTATTTTCTAGTAAGTTACTTTTTTCGTTAAGTTTTTGTTATAATGATGCTCACACTGATTTTAGTCGTATAACTTTTTTACATTCTAAAATATATTATTCTAAAATATATTAATCTAAATTTCATAAGTAATAATATTACAATAAATTTTATGCGGATTTATTTATTTTTTAAATATATCAATCTTTTTATATTTTTAAATTTTTTTAATAATAATTACTTGATGAGTTTCTACAATCACAATATAATCTAAGCAATTAATACAAAATATATTGAATGTTTTTTAAGAATTCATTTAAATGTTTAAATAACTTTATAATCGTTTAAAAATTCTTAAATTTTTTATTTTATCTTTCATTAATTTTTTAAAATAATTTCTCCAGAACCCTTTTTCATTCACATATAATTCTCTGTTAGCAATTTTCTTCATTATTAAATACAATGGGCTTTATATACAAGCCAAATATATAAACCAGAAAATAGAAAGACTATTTAACTTCGTAAGAAACTAACTAAAGGACACATGGAAAATCATGTTGGTTTTATTTTTGGTAATAGTTTTATCAATCCTTTTAAGCAACAGATAAAAAATTAGAGAACATTTTTACTTTTTAAGTATTAATAACAAAAATATATTAATATTCTGTTGTTATAGTAATTTCTCATGTATATCTTTTTGTTACTTAAACTGATAAAACAATATAAAATGATTTTGATATATTGTTAGTATAAAATATTTTTATCTATCAACTCATTAGAAATCACATTAAATATGTCTTTTAAAGTAGTTAATATAAAAAATAAATTTTAATTAGAGTTTAATTTTAATTCATTTTTTGCATAATAAATTTTGTATTATTAATCAATTAGAATTTAGAATATATATAACATATATGAATTACTATAAAGTCAATGATTTTTTTTATTTGACAATTCATAATTAAATGATATTGTAATTTTTTTTATATGGTCAATGTATCCAATTAAATTCTAAATATTAAATGTTCGTACATGCCTAAATTTTTTCCTTAAAAAATAATTTAAAAAAAAATAAGTTATATCTAAACATGATCTAAATATTAAATAAAAAAATTTTAACATGTAATTTTTTATAATTATTTAATATTTTATTCTTTAAGTAAATAGGACAATTATTGAAGAAAATTTTAAATAACTAACAAATATAGTGACATTATCTTATAAGTCATTATAGAAATTAACATCATTAAAATAATAAATTAGAAATATTTTGAAAATATAATTAATAAATTGAATTTTTTTTGGGTCTCTACTTAAATTAACCACACAAGCAAAAAATAAATAATTTAAATTGAGTGTGTTGGGTAGCTCTTTGCTAGTTAAAAAACTTGTTTAATAAAAACAACAGTATTTAAAAAATAGTTAAAATGAGTAGTAAGCATTTTTTTTTGAATGCTACTTGTACCAACATTTTATATTTTTAACTATCAGTTAAAATTGATTTTATCACTTTTGTCTTTTTACTTTTACACATTTATTTTTTATTTATTTAATTTATTTGATATTATTCTTTTTATATTTTTATTATGTTAAAAAGGGAAAAAATGTCATAAATAATAAAAAAAGTCACAGTATTTATTATTTTAAAAAATATAAATCATTGATATCTTGAGAAAGAGTTAATAAAGTCATTAAATTTTCTTCTTTAGAATAAAATATTTATAAATGAGAAGGACATTAAAAATTTATTATTTTTATTTGAAAATAATAAATGATTTTAAATAAAAAATATTTTTTTTTGCTATAAATAAAAATATTTTTTAAAGCATATAATTACTAAATTTTAAACTTTAATCTACTTGAATTTGTCGTTTTGCATTTATCAATTAACTTACTAATTAATTTCAACAAATACATTTAATTTAAGTAATTAACCTTTCTGTTTTCAACTACAATTTCGACTTTAAGTTAGATTATCTATTAATTTTACCAAGCACGCTCTTAATCTATTTTATTATTTTCACTTAAAATTGATTTTTTTTTTGAAAAATGTGTCAAATTAAATGCAAACATGAAAATAAACAAACACGAGGGTGAGAGAAAATTAAAATACGATAAGCGGCTCAGAATACTGATATAATAACTATAATAGTTATAATAAAACAATGTAAAAGTATCTAAAAATTCATCAAGAACACATAATTGATAATGTACTCTTAAAATTCAGTTTATATTAAAAAAATATTTTAAATGTATACTATATATAATCAGTATTTAAAACTAAAACTAAAACTAAAACTAAAATTAAAATTAAAATAAAATGAAGAAATAATGTTAAAAAAAACAAAAACTGGAGAATGTTCTGATTTAGTAGAGGAAAAACGGAGCCTAATTTATTAGGTGAGGAAAGGGCATAACTGTCCTTCAAACCCTAGAAATGCAATTAGAAAGGCATAAACAACTGAGTCTGAGAAGCACACTGAGAATTATTGTTGTGAGCCCTCATCAATCGCAATTACTGAAACGTTTTCAACAACCGATTATCGTTTACTCACATCTCATCTAACTTTCAACGCGTCACTCCGAATCGCTTTCTCCTTTAATTACTTTCTCCCAATCGTTTCTTCTGCGATCACTCTTACCTTTTAAACCCTTTAAATTCTTTTTCATTCCAAACTGTTCCCTGTTTTAGTTATTCTATAATAATAATAATATTATTATAATAATTATTATTATTATTTCGTTCGCTTTCCCCTTTTTCAATTTTTCCACTTTAAATTATGCAACGCGCGCTATCTTTTTCTCTCTACCGAGCTTAGCCTGCCATGTCATCACAAACCGCCGCTACGGACGTGCCGGAGGCCCACGCACCGCTGCTCCGCGCTCGCCACGATGTTACGCGAACCCCTGCGCTCGCGCTCCTTCTCGGCCGCGCCGGGCGCCGCGGCCCCTCCATGCTGGTGCGGGAGACGGCGGCGCGTGAGCTCGAGGAGCGCCGCGCCGACTGGGGCTACTCAAAGCCCGTGGTGGCGCTCGACATGTCATGGAACATGGCGTTCGTGGTCGTCTCGGCAGTGATGCTGGCGTGCACTATGGATGAGCGACCGAACACGCCGATCCGGGTGTGGATCATCGGGTACTCGCTGCAGTGTCTGGTGCACGTGGTGCTCGTGTGGCTCGAGTACCGGCGCCGGAGCCAGAGAGACTCGCGGCGTGGACAGAGGGCGCATGACGTGGAGAGCGACGCCGGTAGCGTCGATGATGGCAATGACAGCGATGACGGAGATGGGAGCTCTGGCGACTCGTCTCGCTCTGGGTGCGTAGAATTCAATTTTTGTTCATTTTGAGTTTTTCTTTGTTTTTCAGTTAATAGATTGCTTCATCCTGTTTTTCTGGTTGTTAGGGTTTTGACTTTTAATTTCTTAATTTGATATCTTAGTGGGTTCAGTTCGGTTCAATTTTGTTTTTGCCTTTTCAATTGTCTAATATTTGATTTAATTGCAATTTTGAGCTTATTTTTTTTAATGGATTTGTTCATATATTTTAAATTGTTTGGATGCTTGGGTTCTGAGTTTTGATTTCAAGCTTGACTTGTGAGTGTTATTTGGAAAACGACAATTATGAAATCTGATGTGCTTTGGAAAAATTAGTGCTTGTGTTATGTTCGTGTCGTGATGGTGTTGTGTTGTGGAGGAAGAGAGCAGGAACTGGAGTAGTTGTTTTTGTGCCTTTGGTTTTGTAGATATGAGTTGGATGTACAACCTAACCCGAGTTGAGGTGGGGGATTATGTGTTCATGCCGAAGAAATTATCAAGATAAAATGGTAACTGCAGTTGGTCAATAAATATTTAGTGTCTTGTGCTTTTGTCATGTTTATATATACTGGTTCTTGAGAATGTGGTCCAGTTAAGGAGCATAATAGAGAAGTTATTCTAGGAAATGTAAAATGTTGTGCTTTGGAATTATGATTAAGGGTTGTGTAATTTGTATGATTGGACTTTATAACCCTGATGTAGTGCCATGATCAAGACACTAGGGATAAAGAAATTTGTTTTGCTAGAGGTAGTGAATTAAAGATGTGAAAAGGTTTCATTGATCAATTTGGTTAATCAGGGAGAGTGAAGGGACCACGAATGCAAGGTAGTACATGGTGTATGTTATTTCCTAAAATCAAAGTGTGGACAAATGTAGGTGCATAGCAATCTTTTACTATCTTGTGAGGGCAAACTATTCATTGTCTTCGACAATCTAGAAAGGATCCTAATGTCATTTTTTATGTGTCTTAATCGTGCATGTAGCCTTTATTATTGTATAGTTTGTGCAGAGTATTTGTTAGAAATAAATATATTTTTGAGCCCAACATTGCATTGAAATATACTAACTAACTCACTGTACCTTACTATAGGGATTTGTGTTCTCTATGATGTGATTGCATCCATAATTTTGAAAACATGCTTATTTTAGGATTGAGCTCCACTAAAGTGAGGAAATGTGTAGGTAAGAAAGTGAGGCTTTATCCACCTTAGATTTGAATTGAAGTATTTTATAACTATCCCTAACTTGAAATTAATTGATCTTCACTCTCTCACTTTACACATTCATTCACTTTAGAGGAGCCAAATCCTTTATTTTACTGTCCAATGTGCATGGTTTGAACCAATGCATAGTCGTACCAACACTAGCTAGAGCAACCTCATTAACAAGGCATGTGTTAGATATGGAGTGCTCTTGTAGTCTTGTTATGAATTTATGTGGCTTCTTTTGTCCTGAAATGTGATGACCCCAAGCTTTATTCAGTAGTCTTCTCTAGTTTGACTTTGATGATGTAGCCCTTTCTTTACAATTTGATGTTGGCAATTTTTAGATTGAGTATATATTTTTATTGTTTGGCTTGATTGCACTTTTGGTCCCTCAACTTTTGTGTTTGTTTGATTTTGGTCTCCCAATTTTCAATTGCATGATTTTAGTCTCATTTTTTTTTCTCATTAAGTAAATTTCATCCATTTTTTAAGTTGTCATCCAATTTTTAACTGAGTGGTGATTGGTGACATAGATTTTAATGGTGCTAAAGTGTCTAATTGTAAGAATTAGTGATTAATTAATTATTTTTAATAAAATGATACATGGATTAGCTTATGTGGTTTAGTTAACCCTAGAGTATACATTAAGCTAGATTACAAAAATAAAAGCCTTTCTTTCAAAATCAGAATCAGGGAAGATTAGAGAAAAATTGAGGTGTCTTCAATGGAGTGAGAGTACTGTTGAGGGATTTAGGCAAAATGGGAGTGTTGTCTTCAATGAAGTGAGAGTATTGTGAGCAAACAGAGAATCACCCATCCATAAGCCATGTATAAGAAATTAACCAGAAAAAAACAATGTTGTCGCATCATGACAACCCACCTCCAACCCCTTTCTGAAGAATTGCAAATCCACACCCTTCTCCATCTCTTGCCTGTTCCCTAAATCACCCTTGTTTTTCTCTTCCTTGTTATCCTCATCTAGCAACAATGATAACCCTTTGCCTTGAATGTCAGGTAGAACAAACCACCTCAGATTTTGTCGTTGACGACAAGATAAGAGAAGCTAGAGTCCAAAGTGAAGGGTCCAAACACGAGAAAGCTGTCGTTGAAGGGGGGGTGGGGTTTGGACCCAAGCAGGGTGCAACTTCTGTCGTTGTTTAGAGAAAAGTCACCGTTTAGGGTTCTGATGGGTGAGTTGGAGGAAAGGGAAGTGACAGGTGAGGGGTGATTGTGGCAATGGTGGTTGACATTTTTGGGGAGGTTGAGATGTGAGAGGAGTGCCAAAAGGAGCGGGATCATGGATGATGAAGGAGGTGACATAGGCAGTGCCGTTTTCGACGACTGTGCAGAAAGAATGGATGAGAAGAAAAAGGAGGAGGAATGAAACAGTGTTGTTAAATGGCGGCCATGGCGGAATTTGGTGGCGGTTTTTAATCCTACTGTTACAGCGTTACCGTTTTATGGCGTTTTTCAATGGCGGTGCCATGGCGGCCGTTATGCCCATGGTGGTAACGGCGGCCATGGCAGAAAATGATGGGCGTAACGGCCGCCATGGCAGAAAATGTAGAAAAATGGCGTTTTTGTGGGAAAAATTGAGTTGGGCTACTGATTGGACCTGCTCCAAAAAGAAAATCTGAGCCCAAACCCTTTATCACATATTTTCTTCTTTTCTTCATGGCTGCTGTGCCGCTGTGGAGCGGCGGTCTGCCATGTGATGCTTGCTGTAAAGTATTTCTTCGTAGAGGTTAAGCCCTAATTGTAGTGTCGTGGTGTGGGTGTGCACTTTTGAAGTGTAATGGAGAAAGAGAGCAAAATTCCAATCTTGCCCTTGCTTTATGTATTTTAGGGTTTTTTAAGGGCAAAATAGACTTTTTCCACTTAAAATTTTTACATTCTCTTCTCAAGCGGTAAATTTTCTGAAGGGTAAAATATTTAGGGTTCTCTCTGCACTGTTTTTCTTCCTTCTTCTCTAAAGCTAACTTCTCCATCTCCTTCATCATTTTCGCCGGAGAAGACATCCTTTCCAGCAACTGTGAGTGGAAGGCCCTGTTTTCCTATGTCCATTGTCCATTTTGCTTCTCTGAGCTCTGTCCCTCTTTCTTAGTTTTTCCCTCTCCTATTTTTTTTTTCAGTTCTATTTTTCCCTCTCCCATTCTGTTTTACTCCCCCATTTTTTTTCGTTTTTTCTTATTATTTTGTTTTCTTGATTCTATTTTTCTGTTTTCACTTCCAAGTTTCCTTCTCCATATTTATTTTAATTCTCTACTTTTCTGTTGTTATAACTTCAGCTTTTTTTCACTATTGTACAACCATTTTATTCTTTTTTTCTCAAAACCTTCCTTCTTTTATATGTACTTAGTTTTCTAGTTTTATATCACATTTTAATATATATATATATATGACCGCCATTATTCCGCCATAACCTGCCATGGCATCCGCCATAATTTTATGGCAGTTTTTTTGCTTTCCGCCATGACCCGCCATCCGCCATTGATAATATTAGAATGTAATGAGGTTGGAAGAGAAGGAAGGGGTTACTTCTCTTAGGGTATGTTTGGGAGAACTTTTAGAGTGGAAGAGAAGGGATGACATTTTTTAATTTTAAATCACGAGAATTATATATCACTTATGATGATAAAAGCATGATTAATACATTAAGTTTATGTTAATATATCCATTTATATATTTTATTTTAAAAACATATTTATTTAAAATAAAAAACTTACCCTCCTCTTCCTTTCCCTTCAAATCCCCCCTTCCCAAACAACCCCTTACAAGTTTTGTATTTCACTCTCACCTCCCATTGTTAAAGGTTCAACCATCTCTTTTGTTTGGCCACAAATCTACACTTTGCAAAATTCTTAGGTTAACAAAGAATGATACTAATGAAGAGGGAGATTAAATACATTTGAATAAAAAATAAATCATTTTATAAATATATAATAACCTTAATGTTAGCATGTGTATTTGCCAAATACGATTGTTATAATACACATCAGCAAAAATTGTTAACAATTAGATGGTAACTTAATGGAGTGATTACAATTCAATATTGGGGGACTAAAATCAAATAAACTCAAAAGTTGGGAGACCAAAAGGGAATTGGTTTATTGACATGCTATAAGAATCTTTTCAATTCAGTAGTGTAGTGTTCAATTGTTATTGCTACATTTCATTCATACATTTAATTTCAGCTCTAGTTTTACATGCGTTTGTTGTTTGTACTTTGTAAGAGAGAAGATCATTTATGGGCTTGCACTTAACAACATAAGCTTATAGTAGAGTTGTTTCCCTGACAGTAGTTCTATGTTGTGGACTCCTAAAATATATTGAAGTACATCATGTTTATGCAAGTTAAGGTGTTTTAAGGTTAATTGGTATAGGGTTGACCAAGATAACTAGCAGAATGTTGCTTTTTGTACATAATGTATTTAGATTTTACGGTGACTTTTGGTTGCTTTACTTTGACCAAATGACCCACGGTTGAAACTTGAAAGGATTATAGTATAATTAGCTGTAGGCTTCTATCTATCCCACATGCCTCCCTCCCTCTACGATGGGTTGCCATATTGTTACCTCTGTAGGTTTACAGTCACTATACTATTGTTGATTAAATAAGAGTTAGTCTTGATAGTTGACAAAGAATTTGTTAGTATATATCTGGTAATTTTTCAATTTCTTATATTGAGAGGCTTATGATTTTGATCAAGGTTTCGGTAAATGAAATCTTTCCACTGATATTTTTGGCACTGGAGCTGTTTCTCACGTTGTCTTATGTGAGCACTAAGCACAGTCCACAGGACCAGACTGTCATAAAGGAAATATGATGTTTTTCCTTATTCTAATACCCTAGCTGATGTAGCATGTTAATCTACTAGTCTTATATGTTGTTTGGCTTACTATCATATACTCTATCTTTTTGGAGTGAAATTAAGAGTGGTTGACACTAATATTTGTTCTTTACAAAACAGATTCACAAAGCGATGTGAATCATTAAATACTGGTGTTTCATTCCTTTGGTGGATAGTGGGCTTTTACTGGGTTGTCTCTGGGGGAGATATACTTATGCAAAATGCACCACGATTGTACTGGTAAGCCTTTGTTTCAAACTTCTGAAATTATTGTTTGTATATTAATTTTAATGTTCTGATATCCATGTATACATGTAGACTCACACATACACGTTATTTTGCTATTTGATTGGGTGCCTGAACAATGCATATGCATAAGATCATTTGACCTTTCCTTTTGGGGGAGGTGGTATGTTTAATTTATGAAGACATGTTCCTTCTCATTTGTTCCTTTTGACTATCAGAAGACAGAGATTCCTTTGGTACCTGCTGTTCTTAAGACTTGAGAGAGTACCAGAACCCTTAGCAACTTGTGGCTAATATTTAGCTGTGTTCCATTTGGTTGTATTATAAAAAGGGACAACTCGGTGCTGCAAAGTTTCTGTATGGTGGGGTCCAGGAAAAGGTCCAACCCTTTATTTATGGGTTTATTGAGGCAGCCCATCCTTGCATTTGGTAGTGGCTGATTCCATAACATAAACATGGACCTAGTTTTATGCTAGCTACTCTTGCTATTGTGCTAAGACCCTCATTTAATTGAATTATAGATAAAATATAACTTATGTACTATAGTTCAAGTAAGTGAGGTGTGTTATTAAATATTAATCTATAATTACTACAGGGTATCTATGCCTCCCAAAACAAAAAACAAGGGCACAGGATGGGATGTTAAATTTGAAGGAAATATCATGAAATTAAAGTAGAACTTTGAATTTTAGGAGTTTGACAGCAGAATAGTGATGGGACAGGTTATGTAGGATGGTACTACTCTAATACCATGCTAAAATCAGTGTTTTATGTATAAAGGGAGGAGAGAGGTAAAAGAGAATGAAAACTAAATTATATTAACTGAGATGCATTATAATGTGGTGGGATGTTCATAAATCCTAGAGCACTAATCCTTATAGATGCTAATCATAATCCTAAATAATTCAGGAAATAAATTATGAAAAGATAAGGAAATATGGAAACTAATCCTAAGAGATAATGGGGAAATAGGAAATTAATTCTAGAGGATAATCTCTGAGATATGATGATGAGATATTTTTGGATATTTCCGTGTATAAACAAATGTATTGTTATGACAAGTAATTTTTTTGAAAATTTAGTTTTTTACCGAGCCCAGTGTTGTCATATGATCTATATAGCTGATCTCACTTAGTGGGATAATACTTTGTTGTTCTATTCTAACGAATGTAATGGGCTAGTAGCTGTTAATTGGTATAACAGAATAATTTGAATGGGAAGGTGGAAATTTGAGCAGGTAGCTTGTTATCTAGGGCAGATAATGAGGTGGGAGCTACTTGAAGAACTTGGATTGAGTGGTATTCTGTATTCTTAGTTCCATCACTTGATTTGAGTATCACTCCTATACTAGGATGGTGGATTGGAATCTAATCAATTAAAGACATTCTGTTGTTCATTCATTTTTCTTTGTATCCAAGTGTGTTGGAATCAGTTTTACTCTTTTTTTATTTGTCATTCTCAAAGTAGTTCTCAAAATTTAAAATATTAAATAAGGTCAAATGAATTGTTTTCAATCTCTATAGCCCGAAAGTCCTTTTTAATTCTTTGATTACAAGCTCATTTTTGCCCTACATTCATAAATATGTTTGTCCTTCAATGTCAATTAATACCATGGTGCCATCAAATTGGTCTTTAAAACACCATAACTGTTTTTCATTAATTGCTATTGAAGGTCCGATTTGATGTCCCCAATAAATGGAGAACAAATGTAATGTTGGGTGTATCTGTAGATGTACTCTACTCCCCCTTTGAAAATGAGATGACCTTTGAGTGTACTTGATAAGAACCTTGGGAGAACTACACCACAAAAGCTAGCTTTTGTGGTGTAGTTCTCTCCAAGCCTTATAATCCTCATATTAGAGTCCGATAACTTGCAATTGGATCCTAACATCCTACCACGCTCCGCAGCCCTGGTGCTCACGTGAGCTGGTTGTGCACTAGCCTCTTTGATTAGTCCCGGGCTAACACTGCAATGCTGATGTCGCCACCTGCACCACTTGTTTGCAGCTGGGAGACATGGTATAAGGCTTTGATACCAATTGACAAGAACCTTGGGAGAACCACACCACAAAAGCTAGCTATTGTAGTGAGAGAGCTCAAAGCCTTATAAACCTCACATTAGAATCTCATACTTCCAATGTGAGGCTCAAGTCCCATACCTTGCAATTGGATGTTAACAGTACTCTTCTCATGCAGATGTGTTTCATATTGACTTGAGTTTTGAACTTTTATATCAAATCAAATTGACTAAATATTGTTTTTCTCTTTCACTAACTATTCAATTGGTTGAACTCAATGGCTTCATGTGATCTATGTAGCTGACCTTACTTAGGGAGATAATACTTAATTGTTATTGTAGCTGTCATTAATTATTCAATCATAGGGGGATTTTACATTATTTTTTTCTTCAATGGTTGATTTTCTTCATTCAACATTAAGATAATGAACCCAACAGTGGTTGGTCATAGTAGAAGAGGATTGTGATCCCTAGGCAAACTTGTAACATCATGGGTCTGAATCTAGGAGTTGTCACCTTGGGAAGGCTTTACCTAACCATCATCCTTGGGTCACGGGTTTATCCTTGCATGTTTACTTGTGAGCTGTGAAACCTTGATACTTTAATGCTTTTTTTGGATTGGTGGAATGTAATGGAATAGAGGAGAATGACATGAAGTGTTATCCTATTCCAAATAGAGGATGGAATATAATGGAGTGAAATGAAACCCATTTCATTACTTATGCCCACATTTTTTCCCTTCAACTTAGGAGAAAAGGAATGAAACTAAAAATATGATATTTTATAAAGTTATTATTTTATCGTTGCCATATTTTTATTATCATACACCTATGTCTTGTTTGAATTACACTCATTGTTGCCATATTTTTTTAAATTGGGGATTTTCTAAATGGAAACATAAAATGATATTCTTGTTTTAATTTATGAAACTTTATGAAAATATTTTTTAGTTTGTATTGATTAATATGTAAATGATGTTTTTTTAAAGGAATGCAAATGGTGGCTAATTTAGAATTGACTGTCATTTTTAAATCTAAATATAATTAAATTAAGGGTCTTTCTGAGTATTGATTCAGGAATTGAAAATGAAAGTTTTTTTTATTGAAAATTACATTGAACTAAATTAAAAATCACGGGATAGGTGCATTAATAACATTTTTAGACAAAAACTTTCTACTTTTGATTTCTTAGCCAATGCCTTTAGGGTATTGCCTAACATTTGCTTTAAATTAAAATTGGATTAATGTTATTTAAATATTATACTTATTTTTAATTTAAAATTCTAAAAAACATTTCGTTATTTAACCTAGATACACACACACACAAGAAAATCCTATAACTCACAATTTTGCTTGTGGTGGGTCCTTAATTGGTGTGCAAAAGCTAGCTGTTTGTATTTTATAAACAATATATTTTGTTTGTTGTGGAATTTTTATTTTAATCTGTATACATATAATTATTTTTTATTTAATAATCATCATTTGTTAAAGTTATAACATCATTTATTAATGTTGTAATACAATAAAGTATAAACAAAATAAAGGTGTTATAATAATAAAAAAAATATACTTCATTAATTTGTTCCATTCACCACCCAAACAATAGAATGGAATTTTTTTTTTCTTTGCATTATAATATATCCAAACAATTGAATGGAATCTTTATTCTATTATATGTTCAGCTCTACTTCATTCTATTTTGCTCAGTCTCGTTCTATTAGCCAAGGCTCCACGCATAGCCCAATATGAGATGGGTACAATATGACACGTATAGGAAATTTTTTAAAATTCAGGATACGATACTCGTTGACATGAATTAAGAAAAAATGTTTATAAATGTACAAGATTTGTACAGAGGCATTCATCATTTTTAATTAGTTTATGATTATACCAGTGGATAAAAAAAAAAGGTTTGTGATTCTAGCAAAAATAAAAGGTTACATATATATCAAACCTGTATTAGGAATATATTACCTCCCTTGTGAGCATGTCGCCATAATTACATATTTTTCCTCCACGGCTCCACCCATGTTAGCCTGTCACAAAAAGCATCATTAGTCCTTTGCAAGAGTAGTCTTGGTTCTGTATACTTACTGTTTACGACAGCTTTTGGGATATAGAGCTAAAGATGGAGCCGTATGAGTTATGTACTATACAAAGTATCAGAGTTGTATCCCATCAGTTAATAAAATTTTAATACTATAAAAGTGAATTAGAGAATACTCCTTCGATGTGTATCTTGTTAGTATGGTAAGTGTGTTGATATTGGATAGGGCACAATATCAATACTTTGCCATTTTTATAGTATTTGTGCTTCATGGCTTGTGAGGATTCCTTGTCAAGACCAAAAGAAAATTTGGCATAATGAGATATTTCCAAGTCTCCATCATAATAATATTCTATATCAATTAAATCAATTTTTTCTTAAAATATTTATTAAATATATGTATTGTTACCTTTTACTTGTATTAAAAAATATCTGTGCAATGTATGGGATACTTGCTAATTCTTTTTATTTAATAGGTTGTATACTGAATTTTGTGAAGCTTGTTGACATTAGTGACAACTTATCTGTTTTGTGTAATTCTACAGGTTGTCTGTTGTCTTTCTGGCATTTGATGTCTTTTTTGCCATCTTTTGTGTTGTCTTGGCGTGCTTGATTGGCATTGCCCTCTGTTGTTGTTTGCCCTGCATCATTGCTATTCTCTATGCTGTTGCAGGACAGGTACGGACAAAAAGTATTTTAGACTGACTAAAATAATCCGAACAACTAGTGAACCTTCTAATTTCTCTTGTATTAATTTGGGTATAATACAGGAAGGTGCATCAGAAGCTGATCTTAGTATACTTCCTAAATACAGATTTCGAATATTGAACAACGAGAATAAGCCTAGTGGTGGAGCTGGATCAATGGTTCCCATTGAAACAACCAGTAGTTACTTGGCAAATGAACGACTACTCCTACCTGAGGATGCGGTATGCTTCCCTGAAATGCCATTTATTTCAGTCTCATGTTCATCACTTCTATGAAACAGAAATTGATGGCTCTCTGATTTTCTATTTTGGTCAATGCACGAGGATTTATTCTGTGGTTCCATGTAGCATGCGATCATGTGTGTGAACCTGGCAAACCAGAGGGAAGAAAAATAATAAATCCAATTTTTCCATCTAAGTACTGAAATTGCCATTTGCCAACTTCATCTTTTGATCCATATTTGTGACCTAATTTCTCAAATCCTTGATATTTTAGAAAGTTGGGAAAGAATTGACATTCAAAGTTGAGTTAGACAAGCATCTGGACTCTGAAGCAGTGTTCTATTATTATTTGTTTAATTTAGAAGATATGAAGAGGATATAACTTTGTTCCTGGGTTAAAAGTTAAACATGATTAACAGGAAGCAACTATATTTACATTTTCTTCTGTAAGTATAATGGTCCATGAAGCATTCAACTATATCTCATTGAAAGTAAATAAAAAATGCATTACTTTAGCTTCTATTTTGGTATTTCTAATCCCTCATTCTGAGTTCTTTTGGCTGTAAGGAGGGGAGGAAAGATGAGTAGAATTTGATGCTTATTAAAGATTAACTCTAGCATAATAATAACAGCAAAAACAACAATATTTGGTGTTATTTTTTTTACGTAAGCGGTGGTAATGAAGATTCTGCTTAACTTTTCTTGAAATATGAACCTAATTGAAGATGTAGGCGTGTGCTCTTCTGCTGCGTTACTTTATGTCTTTATTATTATTATTATCCTAATTTTATGTAAGATTTCTGCTTGTATATATGCTCCTTTTAGAATAACAGTATTTCCTTCGTTAGAAAAAATTCCTAGCTTAGAATTCAATTTTCAGGGTCTATTTTAATTATTATTTGGTGTTTTTGTTTTCTAGGAATGCTGTATATGCCTCTGTTCATATGAGGATGGAGCAGAACTCCATGCTCTTCCCTGCAACCATCATTTCCATTCTTCATGCATAGTGAAATGGCTAAAGATGAATGCAACTTGTCCTCTCTGCAAGTACAATATTCTCAAGGGAAACGAACAAGTGTGACTGAAGTGTCTCCTGCTGTGTATTTCCACAGCTGTTGTGTATATGTAGATATATAATTTCAAGACAAGAAACAGTTACGTCCCAACTTGGTGGGTTTTGATCGTTGTTTTGCTTAACTGTTTCTGTAGAGAAAAGATATAGAGCAATTATATATGAATAAGTTAGCGACTTTTGTCAAATTTAGTATTATTAAGTCCTGTGTTTGATTCGCTTGAAAGTTGTCCAATTATGGACTTTTTCTGACAGAAACTAGATTGCTTCATTTGCTACTGATTGAGTAATTGTAGGGTTTATTCATTTTGATCGTGTTAAATTAATCCCTTTATTTCTGGAAATAGTTAGTTGTCATGTTTTATGGTATGACAACACTTAAAACTTATAAACAGGCAGAACTCATTGCATATTTAGTAGGTCTAACTTCTTAAATTGTAGGTCTAACAGAGCATGCCAAAAAAGTGTTGGTAGAATTTATCATAAAAAAGATAGTGAACCAAGTTTGTTCATCGTTTAATTTAAACATAATTATAAAATAGCATTATCGTAATTGCGATGCAAAAATATTGAACGAAATTAAAAAAAATCCAACATCTGAGTTAATCAAATCTTAAAAGCAAAATATTTGCCATAGGAAATGTGCTATTACTGAATATATGTTTAGAAGATTAGTTGTTAATCGCCTGCAGTTGTTATGCGAGAGTTTGAATAGAAATATATATATATATATATATATATATATATATATATATATATATATACACACACAATTTATGTTTTTTAAGGTTCTTTCATTAAATTAGTGTACCAAAGATTTTGAAAGTGGGCCTAATTATGATTAAAAAGATAAATTTGGTACGTTTAACAGGATTTTTGGGAGTGACTTCTATAAATTTAATTATTAAAATATGTGATATATAATTGAATATTATTAAATTTTTTTTGTTACAACAATTTTGTTTTAAGTTATCATTGGACATTATATATAATATGGGCGTCTCTCCTTGTGAGGATGCATACTGTGCTTTGTCATCTTGCAGTAAATTGATGTCTTCCACAAAACATAACTCCTGTCAATAATAATATTATTTATTTAATTTAATAGTTAATATTTATAACAATTTAACAACTTAAATGAGTTTTATGAACCTATTTGAATTCATTAGTGAACTTATTAGCAATAAAAGAAATTTTTTGATAAAGATTCAACTAGTCCATCTAATGAACCTTACAAAGAATTGGAGGCCTAAAACTATAGCTTATATAAAGAATGAACTAATCAATGTAGGGCATTATCCCAGACAGGGCTGTAACGGAAGAAAAAGAAAAGAACGACAAATCAGATATAATATCGAGAAAAAAATAGAGGGAATGAAATCTTAAAAATAAATAAAATGGTTTGCACATTGAGGATGTAAGTTCATGAGTCTAATTATGTGTGAGAAAGGGGTTAACACCCATGGCATCTATAAAAACAGTATTTTAAAATGTGCAAAAAATTAAAATTTCATTTTATTGATATTTCTATTAAAAAAGATAAAATTGAGCGAAAAGAGGTTTCAAAATAACAGCCCCATAGATTTTAATCTCGCTCCTACGATTCCTCTTGTGCATTGAGGGTGTATTTTGAAAGAAAAATATTTTTGAAAGGTTTAAGCAAATAGAAAACGTTGAAAGGTTGTAAAGAAAGATTAAATACTAAAAACTTTTTTTGAAAGGTTGATTAAAATTAGAATAGACCGTTTGAAGGTATTGAGAAGTTTGGGGTATCAGGTATGCTTATTTTATGAAATTATAAATTCTGATTAACAATTATGTGATTTATAAATGATAGAAGATAGAGTATTCCCAGTTTCTGTGATTTATTTTTGGTTTTGAGGGATGTGATCTTCATATGCAGGTTTGATTGATTGTAGTTTAAAATACCATAGTTTTCTACCTGTTTTATTTCGTTGTTGCTTCTAAATGAGAGAGTTCAGAGAGAATCAAATGTGTTTTCTTCGTTGCCCCTTCAAGCTTATCAGTAAAAGTAGAAATAATAATACAGATTAAAATGAGTTTTAGGTAAAAATGTTTTTTAGATGTCTACTATGACGATGAGAAATGCCTCAAAAACAATATGCGCTCAAGAGGAGTGACGGTAACGCATTTTCCTAACACATTCTTTATGATTAATTGAAAATATTTGAAAACTATAAAATTATAAGTGAGGTTTGCTAAGTTAGAAGTGAAATTTCCATAATTTTTATTTTTATTTTTATAAATTTTAACTGATAAAGTGTGCTGCTAAAGAATGGTTTGGTAACATTTCCTTACCCTTAATCGAACCCTGAGATTCTCGGGGAAGGATCCATTAACGTTGAAATTTAAACAAGTAATTATATTAGATTTGTTAATAGATTAAAAAAAAACATGTACTGGATAAAACACTTCGGTCATCACCATAGAAAAGGGAAACTGAATATCTATTTGGCCTAAAACTAGGACGAAAGGTACCCATGCACTTTCAATCTAACCTCGAAACGAACACCTCTTTAATCATGTCAAAATAAAATAATTAAAGATTAATAATTGATAATCAATAAGAAAAAGGCCAATTACCTAAGTAATCAAAAGACTAAGACATGGTTGAGTCATGAAGTCCATTAACCTAATATTTTGTCTATAAAAGGAAAGTAAGAAGTACAGACAAAGGATTGACTTCTGATATTAAATAACATTTATTACCCTATACCAAATATTGACTTTACTATCAGAGTGTCTTTGCAGGTACCCTCTTCCCCCCGCATCATAGTAGAGAAGAATCTAGCATATTCCACAAGGATGTCACATCAGAGGACGAGAAGAGAGACTACGAAAGCTAAGTGTATCCTTAACAGGAATATTTTGGCGCCCACCGTGGAGCACGATTTGCCTCAATTTCAAGAAGATATGGTACTAACTAGGAGACAACAAGAAGGCCCCAGCCAGCCATAGGGAATGCCATGACAACACGAAGAACATGTGTAGAATCCGCTCATGCTGAAAGTTCTCCTTGAAAAAGGAGAGGACGAGGACCTCTCCTTAGTAGTAATGTAGCTGAAGGCAGAAATGATTGAGATGCAATGTCTCCAAGAAAAGGATGCTCTCGAGCTGTCGACCCTGCGAAGAGAGAATGCTAACTTGAGAAGTGAAATCAGGACCTACATTCCTTCTCAAGTTACCACTCTTGTTTAGGAACATAAGGAGTCATTAGCCTTGCAAGAGAAGTCAAAAACAGTTCAACAAACAAGGACTAGCCCCTCGGTTAGACAAGATGGAATCTCAGGTCGTAGTCCTTTTCCCCAATCGATTTTGGAAACAAAATTACCAGATATTTGGAAGGGAATAACGCTGGAAAAATATGATGAAAGTTCTGATGTGGAGGAACACGTCGATATCTTCACTACTCAAGTCGGCTTATACATAGATGATGATGCTTTACTATGCCGGATATTCCCGACATTGCTTCGAGGGCCCGCCCTGAACTGGTTCACCAAGCTACTGCCAGCGTCTATTGACTCATTTGTAACGCTGATTGCTCGCTTCAATCTACAGTTTGCTGCTAGTCGTCCTCATCAGTTGATCTCAATGGCTTTGATCAACATTCATCAGGAAAAGAAGGAAACACTTAGAACTTTCTTGGAACGATTTGGAAAAGTGGCCCTTTCTATCTGGAACCTAGATCCGGCAGTTGCTATGCACCACCTCACAACAGCGCTTAGACTGGGACCATTCATTAACAACATTTGTAAAAAGCCTCCTGCTAATTTAGATGAATTGCGCAGCCAAGTACTTGCAGACGGAAGTGCTGGCCAAGTTGCGTAGCCAAGCTCGAATAGAGCAAGGCCCTGGTCAAAGAGAATCTGATGGAAGCGAACATCCCAAGAACTAAAAAGAAAATAAAGATTGAAAGATCGGAGCAGAACGACTACTGAGAGGGCCCAGGTATTCAAGTTACAGAACATTGAATACTAATCAGTCTATAGTAATTAAACAAGCATTGGCAACAGAAATATTGAAGATCCCTAAGAGTGCAAATACCCCCCTCAGGAAGACAAATCCAAGTCATGCCAATATCATCAGAATTAGGGGCACACCACCAAAAATGCACAGCCCTTAAGGACTACATCAAAGACTTGATAAAAGCGAACACCTTCAAGACTTTGTAACTAGGCGGACAGAGAGGGAAAGGTCAATGGGTTGAACAACCGAGCTGGCGTAATGACAGAAGAGAATGACACCGTAGTAGATCAAGAGAATGGCCTCAAGAACACCGTGATGAATGGGAAAATCAATCATGTCGTATTATTAACACCATCACATGAGGGTTTGCCGAGGGCGGATCCACAAACTTGGCTCGGAAAAGACATTTACGGCAAGTTTGGTCAGTGAATAATATCTCGGTGGGAAGTGGAGTCCGGATCCCACCCATAACATTCACAGATCGGGATTTCTAAGAGGTAGACCCTATACAAGATGACCCTACGGTCATAAGCATTGATATTCACAACTGCACTGTCTGGAAAACTCTAATTGACCAAGGAAGCTTGGCTAACATCTTGTACTGGAATACTTTCAAATAGTTGGGTATCCCCGAAGAGGAGTTAAAAGAATATCATGAACCGCTTGTCAGATTTTTGGGGGAACGAGTGGAGACCCAAGGATGCATTAACCTATACACCCTGTTCGATTCTTAACGAGAAGGAAGGCGCGTTAAAGTAACATATCTAGTGGTTCATGCAAGTACTTCATATAACATATTGTTGAGACACCCTTCAAGCTAAAAGCCATCGTATCCACTCCTCACCTAACCATGAAGTTCCCCTCGAACAGAGGAAGAATAATCGTCGACCAGAAGCTCGCCATGGAATGTTATTTTGCAAGCCTATGCCTGAGACCTTTGACCAATCCTAGTCGAGATGTCAACATAATTTCTCCTAATTTAGAAGCAGGCTCCCATGATTTGGAACTCGATCCAAGAGTGGATGAAGGGTTTTGGGTTGAGCCTAATGAAGAAAAGAAAACTTTTCAGTTAGAAAGAATGCCCGATCAGGTCACTTACCTAGGAGCTGGTTTATCTCAAGATGAACAACAAGCAATTTGAAAAGTACTCCTCAACCATGTTGAATTATTCGCATGGACAACAACAGATATGCTTGGAATAGATCCAAGTTTCTTATCTCACCGCTTGTCACTCTATAAAGGAGCCAAGCTAGTTGTCCAAAAAAAGAGAAAAATTAGAGGAGAGCGGGCCTACGCACTTTGAGAGGAAATTG